GAAACAAGTGCTCTTATAAGAGAAGCATTCCAAGATTTAGGATCAATTGCTTCAATTAAACCTCTTCTCTTCGAAGGTACCTCTGTTTGCTCAGACCAATGGATCATCTCCTTCGAAACAACAGATGACTCAGACCTGTCTGCAAGACTACCTAGAACCATCCATGTAGGAGACCACAAGGTTACTACTGACTGAAGGGAAGCCCCAAAAGTCTGCTATTACTGTGAAAAGGAGTGGCATGTGAAAAGAGACTGTGAAGAACTCAAATACTCAATTGAGCTAAGACGTCTTCACAAAGAAAAAAGGGCTCAAAGAAATAAGACTACTACAAGCCCAAACCCATCCTTCAGCACAAATAACCCATATATTAATGAAACAACTGAAACTGTCACAGATAACAATGAACCTCTTACTACAGAAACAAACACAACTACTACTTGTAGTCAAGAGCTTCCTCATGTAAAACCAACAACAGAAAACCTACCTCTAACAAGCAGCAACTCAGAAATCCAAGAACAACCAGTGACTACAACTTCATCTTCCTCTACAAATATGGAGATCGAAAAGGTTAACACTGATCAGGATGTTGTTCTTATGGAAACAAATGAAAATAACAGTGCAGATGATAATACATCTACAATAACTACTACTCATATCAGGGAGCTCTACTCGGCGTGCACAGTCTGTAAGAGGAGCCAAAATTGACTTTGTTTTGTTAATTTTGGAGTTAGAAGCAAGCTCGTATTTCTGGAGTATGGTTTTAAGACTAGACCAGTCAGAGAGAGATCCAATACCTATTGTCAGATCATCTGCATAAGCTGCTACTTTGAATGGGAAGCCTTGAAGGTTTATACTACCAATATTGTTGTGTATTGCTTGAATAAGTAGATTTATTGCTAGAATATAAAGTAGTGGTAAAAGTAGGTCATCCTGTCTAACTCCTCTTTCAACTTTGAAAGATTCTAAGATTTTTCCTTGATCTGAAATATAAGCTTGTTGTGTTGTAAATAAATTGTTAACTATGTTAATTATTTTTGAGCTGAAGCTCATTTTCTCTAGTATGAGGTTCATAAATTGATGGCTGATACGATCGAATGCTTTTTGTTAGTCAAGGAAAAGAAGCCAATGCTGTTTAGATTGGTTATTTTGATTTCTTAATACTGTTATAATATCGAGAGCAGAGTTCATAATTGACCTGTTAGCAATAAAGGCTTGTTGCAAAGGACCAATAATTTCATTACAGATAGGGTTTAGTCAGTTGGCTCAGATTTTTATAAAAATCTTTGCATCACAGTTGATTAGTGAGATTGGCCTCCAGTTGCTAATATCTTCTAAATTATCAGACTTTTTTGGTATTAGTGTGATAATGCTTTTGCATCAAGATTGGGGGCTAGCTCCAAAGTCAAGAATCTGATTAAACAGTTTTGCTAGGACTGAAGTAATTTTCTCTTTAGTATCCTTATAGAATTTGTAAGTAAGACCATCGAGTCCTGGAGATTTGTTATTTGGAAGTGCATTAATAATTTTATTGATTTCATCTTCTGTTATAGTTCTGCTTAGAGCATCATTTTGGTCTGATGAGACTGTAGGAAGGTCTTGTATCAGTTCTTTTGCTGCATTAAGATCGATTGAATCAGCCTTGTAGATATCCTAATAGGAGTCTCTAATATATTGCAGTGAGTTTGAGAGAGTTGGAGTACTGGTGCTGTTTGGGTTTATAATTTTGGCACTGCATGAAATAGAGTGTCTAGACTTATAAAGTAAGAAGAAGTATTTAGTAGATTTTTTGCCTTCTTCTATTCATTTGGCATTAGATCTTATTTGCCATTTTTCTAAGAGGAGAGTAAGTTCTTCTTGTAGTTGTAGTTTGAGATTCTCTGCTACACTTTGGAGATCTTCAAGAATTGGATTTTTGGCTATTCTGTT